CATATGTTTAAAAAATTAAATATAAAATCTTTTTTATGGGCAAATTAATTGATATCCTATTAAATAATGAATAGTGTTAGATAGCCTATATTAAGTAATAAATAATGGATATTCTTGGTAATGTAATATATAAGAATACTTTTAAAATTCTTTCAGAATATTTTGTTAAATTCTCAATGTTAAAATAATCTTGTTTAAAATTATTTTCAAATTTGAAAACAAAAACACTGAAAACTCAGATTAAAAGGTGTCTGAATAGAGTCAAATTCTAAACTGAACCTCCAAAATTATGTGAATTTGCATAATTAAAATCTACTGACATGGCATTGAATTTTGCTACTATGAAAAACGTTTTTGATGTGCAAATGCACATAAAATGTCCAAGTTTCAGTTGTAGAACTTAATTGCCTTTCTAATTTAAATGGAATTACAATATCTGTTGGAATTTAAAGTAAATGTAGCTTTTTAATTTTACCTATCAGTAAAAATTATCTTATGTCGTATAGAGATCATCAATGAATTCATTGACATCATTGCTGATTTCAAAATAAATACCATATTTTCTTTATCTTTATTTAGATTCTTTATCTCCATAGCAATTACAGAGGAAAGACAAATTACTTTTTAAAAAATTCTTAAATATGTGTTTCATTTTTGTTGAAAATCACAGAAACAAAGCTCTAAAATAACTACTGTTCCAATAACAATTCATATTTACTAATTATTGGAAGTTATGTCACATTGGATTTTAAGGAATCATTAACTACTTAGGAATGAAAGCCATTTACCTCAAAACTAAAATATAATGCACGATTTAAGTATTGTCCAAATGTTTCATCACTATTACATTTATTTTTGTTTTGATCATCATCTTATATTGTTCCTTTTATTACTGTTACAATTAATCTTTCATATTAATTCTAGCTACCAGGCTGCACCTTCAATTTGTTTTCTATTTCCATTTTAGTTTTATTATTCCATTAATTACTCACTCAATTATTAGTCAAATATTTGTTGAGACTTTAGTAAGTATTAATTAGGGTTCCATAAAATATTAAGAATTAATTTGTTTCTCATCTGTTCATTAATTTATTCAATAAATATCTATTGACTACCTATAATATGCTAAGAATTGTACCAGATGCTTAAATCCAAGAACAAACACAACTGGTTATGTTCTTTTCATTAATAAACTCACGATCAGTACATGTATTTGACAATATCTATTGCTCTTGAATAAATTTGTAGAAATCTTTGATAGTTTTCCTAAATTTTTAATGAATTCCATATATTTTAAATATATTTTCCCTAAAAATTACTTGTAATACATATTTCACTGGAGAGAACATA